TCACATGTTTCACAACATAAAAAAGATCAACAGTCGATTTTGTCACAAAGTGATAAAATGAGTGTCCATTATGCTTTGATTGGCTAAATTCAATATGTAACACAAACCCCCGCACTCAATTTCAGACACTGATCATGTTAACTCGCTTGTAACATATATGAATTGATCAACATGGAGGTTCTAATTTTTTCCAGAATCGATTTCCAAATTTGGAAAAAACCTGACTGTAATATAGAAATGATATAATGATCTACATGTGTAATGTGGTGCAATACAGTCAGGTATTTTACTCGATATGGAAATACTAAATACTGTAATGATCGATGTTATGAAAAATTATAGAAGAAATTTTGATTGGCTAAATTCAGCCGGGATAATACCCTGTAATGATTGACGTCATGAAAAGAGATTCTGATTGGCTGAATTCTGTGCAGATCTTTTGTTTTTTGAATAAAAAATATTAATAATGAAGAAAAACATGGCGGGTGCTTTATTAACTGCTCATATTACAGGATTAAGCAATATGAGAATGTCACTGTTTGTGATTTAACATATAGTATATTGATCAGATAGATGATTTTAACATTATGTACAAATTTTTCCTTTACCTAACATTCATTAATATCATTAATATCTCATTTAATAAAAATAATTGATAATAAAAATAATCAATCAATATTATGTACTATGTGTTCTATGATTATAACTAAATCATTCACTTTACCCATTGAATATATACATGCATAAAAACCAGAATACTCCTAATAATTCATAAAACAATAAATATATAAATTTAATATGTAGGTATGTTTCAAAAGAATCAAATGGGATTGAAAATCCTTTTTTACTTTTAAAAAATAATTTTGGTTTTCTTGATCATCCAGAGGTTCTTCCAGTAGAACTGTTATCAGAAAAAAGAAAGAAGACTTGTATTCAAAATTCGTCAGCATGTTAGTGGATGTTTATTGTTCAGAACCATAAATAAAAATTTATTTTGTTAAAATTAAATGTGCGCAAATGATGATCATTTCCGAATTTGTTAAAAGAAAAATCACTATAGTGGCAATCATCTAAAGACATCATCAAATGTTGCCAATCTTTAAGTGCTGATACTTTATTAAATATGGGCTATTTTACCAAAAACTTTCTATTTTTGCAATATTCTAGACATGAAAAATAATGTAATAGAAAGTTTTTTTGAGTTATTTAATTAAAAAAAAGTTATAATGGTTTAAAGTTGGGTAACTTTGCTATTTTATTTGAAATTTCGGCAACTATATATCTAAACATAGCAGGCTTTCTCTGTGATTGGTTGATAATTTATAATATGCCAATCGTTTTTATTTATTACTTCCAAGACAATAAATAATATAAAAAATAGATAGATAGATTCTTAACAATAATTTTATTTGTAATTGGTAATAAATAATTCAGCAAAAACATTAATGTGGGAACTTTTGCTATAATAATAATTGCAATGAAAAAAATATATAATAAAGTACACATATGGTACAAATATCCCATATCAAAATGACTAATTTGAGAGAAACAGCATATCCCACCCATCACATAAAATAATATGTTGAATGAAATTTGATGTTTGATATAATCGATAAATGTATCATTTACTCACTACCTACAATATATTAAACTATTATGCGATTCTTATTAAATATAGCATAGTGGACATTTGATTTCATTGGCTAAATTATGTGACGATTTCCCTTCCAGATATCACGCAAAAATTGAATTTTATTGGCTTGAAGATCATTACGCAAATTTGAAAAACCAATATTAATATTGGAGGGAAGGAAATTTAGTTCCAAATTGATAAAAATAAAATGTTTATAATAAATAAAAAATTAATATAGTATTTCTTTATTGAATGTTTTAATACATAGGCTTGGTTTTTTGTTATAAAGTCTAATATATTATTTACTTTTCAACTTTTCATTGACTTCATCAAATCAACATTTTACCTTTGATCATGAATTGTCATCCATTATATAATACTATATATATACACACACATACATACATACATATAAACTATTATTAAAAGTATATTTATTTTTATTATTATTTCAAAGATGACAGAGAAAAACAAGGCGGTGTATATATAAAATAATAGGTATACTTCATGTGCATATTTAATACTTTTAAAGATTGGTCATTAAATTTACATGTAGGAAAAAAGGATATTATTATTATTATGTATTTTATGTAAAGGAATGTTACTGAAAAAAATATATGTGTAGCATTTATAATTATGCATTCTGCTTCGTAATAAAGAATTCAATCTATGTTTTTACCATTAATTAAACATCATTTTCAATAAAAGTTTTAAAAGGATAAATTATTTTATTTCTTTCTCCAACAATGTTGTGATATTTTTATTAATATTAATAAAGAAAACCAAATTCCTGAGATTACCAGAGAAATGAAACCAAATCACTAAATTAGCTCTCTTGGGGCAAAATTTAGTCTTTAAATACAAAAAATGGATTACCAACAAGCAAATAAAACAAAGTTTATATTGTTTTAAAGTTGTATACATATATAAAAGCTTGTAAATAGTATGTGTAATGTTGAAAATACAAAGAAAA